GTGCCCAAGTCTTGGCACGTCCTGCCAGACGGGTCAAATGCAACTTGCATATCATCGTCGTCGATGCGACGCGCCCTTATGGCGTCATCCAATTCGACGAACCATCTCAAGAGGGAGTCCTCTTCGACTTCCCTATACTTGGAGATGTCAATCTTCAAGGTCTCGGGTCGACGCGAGTGCATCGACCCGCCAGCAGCAGCCTGCTGCTGTCTCAACAGTTCAAACTGTTGAACACCCTGTTCTCTCAACAACTCTGCTTGTTGAGAACCTTGTTGGTGAAGCAAGGCTACTTTCTCGCGTTCAGCGTCAAGTTCATTTTAAATGAACTCGGCGATAGTAGCATGTTGGGCATCTCTATTGAGAGCCTCTAGCATGACGCTAACAGCATGGATGCCCATGGTTGAACCCATTCGTTCAACCGCATCCCATTCGACATCTCTCAAATGGGAGTAGCCGTCACGCGTAGCGTGAAAGCTTTGGTCATCTTCATCATCCAACATATTCATGTTGGATGTGAACGCGGTCCTTGGACGGACTACGAAGTGCTACCAGGTGTAACGGGGCACCCTGAAGCTTGTACTGGTGACAGTACAAGCTACTTATTCTGATGACAGAATAAGGCGGCGCCTCGTGACTTCACGTACACTCGTACGTGCAGAGGAAGAAGGTAAGAAAAAGGAAATTGAGTTCTTGGTTAACGTATAAGGTTTTTAGACTGCTGTATTTATAATAGTTAATGTCTGCAATCCTCACAGATCTACTTTTATTCTCATTATATCTAAGTACGGTTGCTCTATCAACTATCTCAAGAGCTATTCAGACTGTGCGCCTGTCTCAACTGTCTCTCGTCGCGCGATTTCTCTACCCTTCTCGTCAGATGCTGTGTCTCACTTCCAGCTACAAATTTCAGCCACATAAGCCAGTCTGAGGTTCCTGATATTTTGCAGGTGATAGCTCTGTTGTCCCATGTTGCAATTGCTTATAAGATTGTCTATGGAGCAAGGCACCCCGTTACATACTATGTGTGTTCATAGTGCCCTTTCTCTCTTTTGGAGGCACTAAATCTACATTTGGAAACGGAACTCGCATCAGGAAATGTTTGACTTTTAGCAACAGCCAAGGGTGAGTTGAGATGGGAGAGCTTAGAAGAAGGTACAATGGGAAGTGATTTATCATCTAGCTAGGTCCTTAGTTCGTCTCGTTGTACAACTCTAAGCCTATCGATATCGACCATTATAATATTAGTAGCAAAACGATGAGTTGATCCCATCGTTACACACAATCACACAGTGTCGTCCATGACATATGGTCATAAGTATCAGTAACTAACACCATTACCAATACTCCCCCTCGACTAGAAGTCTCTGATCCTGGATTTGTCCAGCAGCGAATGAAACTTCTTTGTCGAAATTGGTTTGGTCAGAAAATCTGCGAGCTATGACTTGGTTTTAGTATACTGCAGGTCGATAATCTTGTCTTTTGCCTGTTTGCGCACAAAATGGTATCTAATGTCGATATGTTTCGCTCGACTTTGATAGCTGTCCTTTTAGCGATAGCGATTGCACTCTGGTTGTCTTCGTGAATCGTGACAGCATAGTTTATCTGCACTTGCATCTCCTCGAGTAGACTTCTTGTCCACAGAACCTCCTGCACAGACAAAGAAAGATCCCTATACTCTGCTTCTGCCGTGATCAGTGCCACGCTCTGCTGCATCTTCTATCTGAAGATCACAGTTGCGTCATTAATCATGACAAAAACCCCTGAAATTGATCTGCGATTCCACTTGTTTCTTACCCAGTCCGTATCAATGTATGCGCTCAGCTGAAGATTACCTGAAACTCCTTCATGACAAATTCCTTTGCTCTGCGTCGTCTTCAGATATCGCAACACTCTAATTGCTGCATTCCAGTGCTCTTCATGCGGAAATTCCAAATGACGACTCAGCCGACAGACTGCATACGCAAAATCTGGTTGTGTGCCTGTTGCCACATACAACAACGACCCCACTGAAGACCGATACGGCCAATTCTTCATTCTTGTGTCAGCTTTGTCCATCCTGACCATCGCTTGCCCTTCAACACTTGGATATGACACTGCTTTCGCATCAACTTTATTAAATTTCTCGACCGTTCTTGATATACACGATCCTTGACTGATCTTCAGACGTCGATTGTCGCTCAGGTACTTGAATTTGATTTCGAGAACGTATCGAACACCCCCTAGTATCTTTAACTTAAAACGACTTGATAGTTGAGCTGCCACATCGTCCACCGCTCCAGTAGATTCATTCCCCAATTAGAAGGTCGTCCACATATAATGCAGCGTAAATCCACGAGCCCTTGGTATCTTTGACAAAGATGCTTAGGTCTGCCACGCATGAAGAGGACCTCATCTCCATAAACACACACGAAATTGTCTCGTACCATGTAGCGGCCGCTTGTTTTAGCCCATACAGACTGCGATTCAGCTTAAGCATTTGCTTATTTCCTGCACGAACGCTCAGAGGAGAATATACGTATGCCTCTTCTTCCAAAACGCAGAATAGAAAAGCAGTGTCGACATCATATTGATGAATCAACATCCCCTTTTGACAACACACCGCCAAAAACACTCGTGTTGAGTTGAGCTTTGCCACAGGTGTATATGTCTCCATGTAATAAACTCCATACGTCTACCGGTAGCCAAGTGCTAAAAGACGTGCCTTGTGTCGAATAATCTCACCCAGCTCGTTTCGTTTGAGTGCGAACACCCACTAGGTTTCAATCACTTTCTAGCTTGGACGCTGTGTTTAAACTGTTTAGGTTTCCTTTTCCACTTGTACCTTGAGCTCAGCTTGAATCGCCTTGTACCAATCATCACGACGAGGTGACTTATGAGCTTCTTCGTATGTCGTTTGGGGTTTCGAACGCTCCACATGCTTGCTCATACCCAATACGTAGTCTCTTTGTGCCTCTTTCTCGACACACGTCTGAGCCGTCATCAAAATTCTTCATCAGCTCTACCCACTGGTATTAACGCTGAAGATTGTTTATGTTGAACCGATTCTAGTGGAATCATCGCAGCTTCTTGCGATTCTTGAATATTTGTCTATAGACTTAATCGTATCACCATTTGTCCTTGTGTTGACACTTCTTCAGCCGATTCTTGATCTTCTATGATCATCGTCACATCATCAATTTTTAAACATTGGGTCGTCAGCATTGGAACCCACGTATTCAGGCATATTGCTACTGCATCTTGATGGTAGAGCCATTGTTGTCGTACGCCTGTATTGCATGTGACTCTCTTCTTGAACAATGTGACTGTCCTCCATCGCTATGTCCATGTCTTTCGTGACTCGTGGTTGTTTTTAATCGATGGAAACAACGTCTTCGATATGAACAGCGCGAAAATGCTTGGTCACTGGATCTGCCGTAATGTTGCACGTACTGAAGTGATGGTCTCCTCATCGAATTTAGCCGATCTCGTGTGCGTCACCCTCTTGGCATCTCCATCCCATATTCAAAGCTCCTTGATTTGGTCCGAGTAACCTAAAAAATACATCGAATCGCCTTCTTGATCATCTTGGTCCTGTTTGACTTGTCGACATGTGCATATCCCTTTGATTTAAATACTTACATTTCGGAGAGGTCAGGTTTCTTCCCAAAGATGAACTCAAATGGAGTTGTAGTCGGGTGACCGGCACATATAACTCGGTTTCTCACATAGGCTGCTGTATTCATCGCCTCAGCCCACAAAATTTTATCCACTTGCATATGGCTGAGCCTTGCTCTGACCTGCTCTGTCAGTGTCCGGTTCATGCGTTCGGCCAGCCCATTCTGTTGTGATAAATAGGGTGCCGTCTTCTAATGCATGATACCATATTTTCGACATACACCAGAGAAACGTTTGTTGACGAATTCCATCCCGTTGTCCGTCCTGATACACTTGATCTTCATGGACAGTTGATTCTCCATAAGTGCCTTGTACTCTAAAAAGTGATCCGTCACTTCCGACTTGTTTATAGTATGCGACTATGTATCTCAAATAATCATCAATAAAGGTTACGACAAATTTTGATCCTTCTCTAGACATCGATTCCATAGGTCCCATGACATCACTGTGGACCAACTGCAACACTTCCTTGGTTTTCACCTGTCCGCATGAAGACTTCGTAAACGTCTTGACGGTTGCTTTACCCATGATGCAACCTTCGCAAATCTCGATATTATCTTTAACGCCTTGATTCTTCTTGATCTTTAATTCATTGACACAACCTGCCATACTCTTGAGCATCTTTGTTGACAGGTGACCTAATCTTGCATGCCACTCTTGTAGATCAGCCGCTCCTGATCTGTCACCTGATTTTTGCTATTGACTTTTTTTCTTCGCAAACGTTGGCTACCTCAGCCGGACTACACTTTAAGACGTACCTCTTGTTTCGTCTTTTTATTTGGGCAATGACTTCCGTGTTACTTGTGATCTGACAGCTCAGATCTGAGAAGATCACTTGTAGACCCCTTTTGACAATGCCGATATTGACAGAAGCCTTCGGTCTAGGCCCGGCACCCACAGCGTTTCTTCAATCCTTATCACTACATCAGTCTTGAGTTGCACGCGCACTGTCCAAACACCTTGCGCTTCCACTTCGCTGCCGTCTGCTATGGTGATTTTGATCGGGTACGTCAGTGAGTCTAAATTCGAAAACTCATTTCTGTCGGGACACATGTGGCTGCTTGCCCCCCTGTCCAATAAGCATCCAGCTGACGTCCGACTTGACGCAGTAAATTTTCTCTTTTCTTGAATTGCTGTCTCCACTTGTGCAGCCTTCCAATCTTGACGCTTGTGCCCATATCTGTTACATCGGTAACACCTTCCCGAGAACTTTTCACCTCTTGATCTTGATCTCCCCATACGTCTGCGCGGACCTTTCTTGTACTTAGAATTGTGCGCGCTTTTCAGTGCGACTTCTTGGTGTTCTGTCCTCGCCATTCATATCGTACTTCCGTCTCAGCATTTCCTTAGCGTGAAACAGTGCCATTCCGGGCATGTTCTCCATTATCTTGATACGGGGTCACAGGTAGACTACCCAATAGGATGATCAAATGCTCATCCTGTGAGGGCTCTTCTCGCACAGCTTGCAAAGTCATGCACAGCTCGTCAAATCTCAGGAAGTGATCCATTTTGCTTCCTCCCTTGGTCACCTTGAACTCATGTATTTGCCACCGCAACTGCACACGATTGTGCACACTTTGTCGCAGGAGGAAAGTCTTCAGTATGTCCCATGCTTCTGCCGTTGTCTCCGCCGTGCGCACCATTGGCTTAAGGTTTGTGCTAATCACGGTGGCCACAATCGCGAAGGCCTTCATGTCGTTGACTTTCCAAGTTGACGCGCTTGAGTCTCCTTCTTCTAGGGCCTTCATAGCGTCTAGGTGCTTCAGCAATCCCTTCTTTGCCAGCATCATCCTGTGGAAGTTCATCTTGCGTTGAACTCCCACACAAAGTATTTATCTTCGCGGAGTATGTCACCCGCATCCGGCGTAGTTGGGCTCATAACCTTTTGACTTTTGGCAACAGCCAAGGGCGAGTTGAGGTGGGAGAGTTTAGAAGAAGGTACAATGGAAAGTGATTTATCATCTAGCTAGGTCCTTAGTTCGTCTCGTTGTGCTACTCTAAGCCTATCGATATCGACCTTTATAATGTTAGTAGGAAAACGTTGACCACCTCCCAGTTTTTTGTTAACCACCCCCCACCCCCTATATATTACCGTATTATGATATACCTTCCATACTGTTGATTGATTATAAATAAAATGTCACATTGCTTAATGCTGAAAGCCAATTCCAACACAGTAATTGCATCATTTAATCGCTTACACGCTATTTTTTTCAATTGTTGAGTAATTTCTTTCAGCTCTTAAACACCGTAGTCTGTCATTATCATATGGCTCTGCTACCACCTCCTGAAACTACTTACGATACGCTAGAGGAGGCCCGAAAGGCACTTAATGAACATGCAAGAGCTCAAGGCTATGTCCAAACGATCAAGCGTACCAAGAAGGTGGGTAATAGAAAAGATGGCGCAATTAAACGTGTTATTCTATGGTGTTCACAGGAAAATGAATACAAGCCAGTTGCCGTTAACGAAGTACCAGAAACGAGAACGATCAAGCGCATAAGGGCTAGTAGAAGCACTGGAGGCGTTTTGAAGCTGTCATTTAACGCATAGATGAGCGCTGGCACGTTAAAGTCATTAGAGGGAACCACAATCACGATGCATTTGATGACTCCTCTGCACATCCAAATGGTCGCGCGTTGAACGAAGAGGCTCGCGAGCGAGTTCTCTTACTGACCAGTGCTGGTGTCAAACCTGGTACTATTGTCGCTTCTCTCCGCAATGAAAGCAGCATAAATGTCACCGCCCAAGATATTCACAACATCCGTAACACTGATCGCGCTCTAAAGCTGCAAGGTATAACACCTCTACAGTCACTGCTTGATGGACTTGTTACTTCAGGCGTTAAATGTTACACTGCACACGAAGAAGATGGAAAGAAACTGTCACACCTTCTTGTTGTTTTTCCATCGGCCAAGGAGATTTGTTCCAGATATTCTGCCGGGGTAGTATGGATTATGGACTCTACGTACAAGACCCAAAGGTATGGACTACCCTTGCTCCATACCGTCGGAGTTACCTGCATCGACTATACCTTTACTCTGGCATACTGCTTTATGCAAGCAGAATGAGAGTCAAACTACGTCTGGGCGATGCAAAAGCTACAACAGGAATTTTGCGAGATGAGTATTATTCCTAAGACATTTATAACAGACCGAGAGCTGGCCTTGATGGGCGCAATTGACATAGTCTTCCCGGATGTGAACGGGTTGCTTTGCCGCTGGCATATATCGAAGAACATTTTGGTCAAACACAAGAAGTCCTTCACCACTATCGATGATTAGGAGGCCTTTTTTAAAAACTGGAACATCTTGGTGTCACAAGATCGGATTGAGACCTTCAAAGATAAGTGGAAAAGCATGCGCGAAAGCTGGGGAATATCGCACCCGCAGGTCGTTCGATATATCGACGAAACTTGGCTGTGTTGGAAAGAGAAATTTGTGACCTGTTTTCTCCGTAACAAGCAGCGTTATGGATATGTCACCACGTCTCGCGTGGAAAGTGCGCATGCTGCCCTGAAGCGCTGGATTGGATTCTCGACTGGCGATCTACTGTCTGTCAACAATGCTATAAAGCTAGCTTGCGATGGACAGCTGGCTCGTATCAAGCAACAGCACGCAAAAGAGCGAGCGACGTTTGACATACGATTTGGTAGTACATTTACCGACGTCATGGGAAAGATCTCGGAAGCTGGCCTGCGCGCAGCCTTTCGCCAATACAAAAATCGATTTCACAATAATGTCGATGACAATGGAGCCGTCATTGAATGTCAAGGTACGTACAAAAGATTTCACAGCATATAACATAATGTGCAGCTCATATTCATTTAACGTTTTTGCAGGCTTGTTAAAGTCGGTGATGGGATATCCTTGCCGACATTACTTCTCCGCTAGACGCGTATCGCTATCTCTTGATGATTTAGACAAGCATTGGTGGCTGCTGCAGCCGCCCAGGATAGTTCATCCGCACAATGTGGTCGACTTGCCAACAGCATGGGACAAGGTGTCAACAGAGTTCTCGAATGCCGCCGGGAACCGACAAAGAGAGATCGTCGAACATGTTCTGGTGCTTCCCGATGACGTGCGTGATCCTGAGCGGATTAAGAGTGGTGGTAGGCCAGTCGGTGCTTTAAATCGTCGTTTTAAAAGCACAGAGTGCGATCTATCGCTCTTCGAGCATGCAGAGGTCGCGCTAAATCCCTCTAAGAGGCATAAATGCAGCAATTGCAGTGAGTCAGGTCACAACTATCGAACTTGTCGTAAAATAATAGCCCCATACAAATCACGTGTAATCTATCAGTTGCAAGAAGGGGCAAATGGTAGTAAGCGAAGACATGGCGCCCTTCATCAAGTTTTTCGACTTTATTTAAAATTTTGTCGTCTAATCAGGGAAGTGTTCAAGTCCAAGAACATCCTGGGGCTAACGCTGATTTACCTTAGATCCACACCGTGTATTCTCCAGCGACTCGACATGATTCCAATTGTATTTGCAGAATATATGGCAATCACGAGGTTCAATATGCCATTAATGTTGCTAGCGATCGAAGGTTATGCAAGGAATGCGATTGTTGGTTACGAAGTTCCGTTTAATCTGATTTTAAGGCTCGCCATGGGAGCTTATGAATCAGACGTTTAATGTACTGAAGCACTTTACCAGCTACGTATTTATGTCAAGGTGTCGAGTTGATGGCAGCAATTTCAGAGACAAGAAGCGGCATCGAACGAACTTTATTTTCTATTGCGGGGTGTATGTTGTGGTGGCTACTTCAGGTCAACTAACTGAATTTTCTAATGCTCAGCGATACAGAGCTGAAAATTGTGCAAAACAATTATTCGGATGAAAGCGATCGCACGTGGGACTATGGATATGCTGTGGGGGTTGCTATTACATTGAATAGCTTTGCAAGTCAGACCTCAATCATCGCTGAGACAATGCCGCTAATTTACTAAAGGTTTGCCAATGATGGACTGGTACAACGTGTATTGGTCAACATCGATCGCACGAGCTACCCAAACTTGAATGCGATTTAGGAAGCTGAACGTGTGAAGCGAAAGGAAGATAGTTTATTGCTGGATAATTTGCGCCCTGTTACTGTCATCTGTGAGAGAAATGTTGCCGTTGATGGTACCTTCAAAATTAGATGTTATCTGACATGAAGTGCAACGAGCTCATGAACTTGTTTATAGCTACCCCATCGACGAGACCGGCCATAAAGCGGCATCCAGCGGGTCCATCTCTTCGACTATCTTTTGATCGCGCCCACTCTCCTAAGCTTCTGCTACTATTCGTCTCTTTCGCTCTTCCAGCGTTTCACAACAATCTTTGTCTTCTGCTAGCCAAAATACCAGCTGTTATCAAACCGCAACTTCTTCCGCTAGAAGATTGCTTGCTCTTCTTATTTTGGTTGTGTTTTCCTTCAGCGAAGCTTCACCGTGTCTCTTTAGTTGCAATATTGTTGTCCCCAGGCTAAAAGTCGTTACTGCCTTTGTCCAACCTACAAAAGAAAATTGCAGATTTCTGCGTAGTTACTTGACTCTTCTGCGTTGTCGAGTTGCAAGATATAATCGAGATGCCGCTGAGCTTGAAACTTCTTTAGTGTAACACCTCCACTCGTCGCCGGCGTAGTAGTCATAGTATATGCAACGTCCATCTTCTCCACAGATCTAGCGCTAGAGCGAACGCGCTAGCCATCACCAACAGCAGCTTGGCTATCAGCGAGCATCTCGGAAGCTGCCGCAACAGCAGTACCTTGATCGATAGGCTTCACCGTCACCACACGAGCCCGGTCATTGTTTGGCACCTCGCCCTTTTCGTCTTTTGACTCGAATCTTTTTGATCTGGAGCAGGACGCGCTGTTGGATGAAGAGTCAGTCGACAATGCGTGGGATAGAGAGCAGCCGCGATGTGCATGCCGATGGGAGGAGGATAAGCCACTACCATCATCAAATTACGCGTTAGTCTAGTTAGTCAATTATACACGTATTACGACTACACTCATACCTCGTGATAGACCTCTGCAGCTGGCTTAAAGTCAACTTCGAATGTAGCATTGATGAATGCCTTTGTTACAGTGTCCATCCAGGATAATCGCAGTATCTGGCATGTTCATTATCACACGTCGCCGACTTATAGACATGCATCAATTATCTGGATTTAGTATTTTATAATTTGTAAATGAATTAGTAAATTACTGCTTAAACCGGTAATATATTCAATTCTACCAATCGGAACGGCGTCCATCGAGTAAATTACGGTAATATATAGGGGGTGGGGGTGGTTAACGAAAACCTGGGGGGAATTAACGTTTCCCTATTAGTAAAAAAACAATGAGTTGATCCCATCGTTACACACAATCACACAGTGTCGTCCATGACATATGGTCATAAGTATCAGTACCCAAAACCAGTACCAATAGAAACGACGTCCGTAGAGGCACTTGTAACGGGGCACCCTGAAGCTTGTACTGGTGACAGTACAAGCTACTTATTCTGATGACAGAATAAGGCGGTGCCTCGTAACTTCACGTACACTCGTACGTGCAGAGGAAGACGGTAAGAAGAAGCGAGTACTTAGTTTAAGTAAAAAGTAGAACTGTATTTATAATAGTTAATGTCTGTTATAAACCCCTGTTTATCCTCATCTAACTATGTCTGAATACAAATGTGTAAATCAATTATCTGCTCACCACTCATTGCGTGCGTCTGTCGTGGCGCGTCTTCGTTGGTTGATATAATGGCCTATATCAACCAATTAGGAACTACTCGTAAGTGCTACAGAATATTTGTCCTTA